AAGCCTAACTTTTAATCATGCACTAACACGCACAATTAACCTAACGGTTTCCATTGAGTACAACGAATATGAGGGGTGCTAATATCTTCTCCTTGCGTAACCGACTCCCGAACCATGATATTGGTTGCAATGGTCATATACTTGTCTTATTTTTAGGGATTTTATTCTATATTTTCTCTTTCCTTCTATGAGAATAAATAAAGATCGATGGCGACTATGTTAAGTCCATCTCATGAGCGTGCGATTGCGCTTCGTGATGTCGTTTTCATTTTTTGAGATACAACATTGTAAAGAATGTGAAACAAGCAAGTTACTAACTAATGTGTTAACACTTCTGTTTATCAACAAGATTGTTACAAGTAGTCTAGAATATCCATATCAACTCATAGACTGTTTTAACTCCGTGTTTTTTGTGATCTCAATCACTCAAACTTTGCTATATCTCAAGTCTATCTGACACAACTTTCCTCTACACCAGAAGCCAACACCTAAGCTATTGATGTTTCTTACATGCTTTTTGGGTGAATTATCGTAGAGACTTAAGCGATATGCATTATTTATATAATCCTATTCATCTCATTACTTTTAGCTTAAGATAACTTCGTTGAATCATCTCTTACTCAATTAAGAAGCTTTGTTGTAGAGTGTAATTGTTCTTCTGAGCACAAGTGTTCAATAATGTACTAAAAAGCTTTTGTGTTTGATTTATCTATAGACATTTTAGCCTCTTTATTTTTAGCAATCACAATCGTGTAGTCAGAACCACATTCCAATTCATAGGCGTGTGCACGAGAACATGATGTTGCCACCTCTAAGTGAGCTCGTGCTTGGAGAAAGTCTCATATGGTGTGGGTGTCGTAGAATTGCTACGGAAAGCTGTAAAATCGGCAAGATGGTGTAATTCTGGCAATTCAGCAAATATGTGCCATAATGGATGCACGAGTTAGATAAGCGGCATTGTTCTAAAAAAAATGCAGACTTAGGTTTTAAAAACTCTAAAAATATTTTCACAATAAAAAAGGGGTTGATATTTTGTACTCTTTTTCTTTTGCAGAGCAACCTTTGGTATTCTCTTTTACCTATCGAGAGAGGACTTTTTTTATTCTTACTTATATTTAAAAAAAAGTACAAACTTCTAACTTGTGACATTGATAGTCTCTAACGAGTCGTGTTACAATCCCTTGACCTACGATCTTGAGCCCCCTTTCCTAATCCTGGGTAGGATCTTGATTCTGACTACCTCTTTTTTATTCTCAATTTCAACCACATTTTACATAGAATCGGTAGGCGTTACAAATAGAGCTAGGTGTCTATAGTTTCTATGGAAATATGCCCACATAAATGTTGAAGAATGTGCCACAAATACTTATTATTGAGCATTATTTTATTTCCTAAAATAAGAGAGATTAGGTAATTGTATTACCTTCTGATAGGGACTTGGACAGTGGGCTTGATGTATTTACTGTTGTGTGTCTTATTACCAAGAAGCATATTACTTTACTTGAAAGGTTTATTCTAGAAGAAAGGTGGGGCAAAAGAAAAAAGGAGAGGCTGGTAAGGGAGACGACAGTAGGAAAGACGTGATTCGGTTAGCGGGTATTTGGGCAGAGATTCACATGAAGGAATAATCATGCAGTGATCACTCTGTTCTGGTTAGGAGAAATTGATATTCACAGTTGTATGAACAATCTGCTCTATTATCCCATTACATCATAAATAACACACTATTTCACTCCACTGTTACTGTTTTATTCATGCCTTTACTGTAATTTCTCTTGTGATTGTTCTGTTTTCCATCACCTTCTCGCCTGATTAGTTGATTTCAATTTTCATTTTCCTTGTTTATGAGGAATTATATTTCCTTTTTGGTTCCTTTTTGTTAGAATCCCTTCTTGAATTTCATTTTCCAGAATTCAATTCATTAGTCGTCTAGTAACACGTAACAATAATATCAATATCAGTAGAGACATATCCAAGAATGACCTATTCATAAAAACTTGCCCTTATTTTAGGCTTGTTTTTTTTTATGTTATCTGGAGAAATAAAAATTATTTTTAACAAAATAAACTTATTTTGTACTCTGCACAATTTTATATTAAAGTAATATGCTGATGTCAGGCAATTGCATTGATAATTGTAGAGATATTTATTTTAGGAACTAACACAGTAAAGTGGCAAAATAATAATAATAATAATAATAATAATAATAATAATAATAATAATAATAATAATAATAATAATAATAATAATAATAATAATAATAATAATAATAATAATAATAATAATAATAATAATAATGAGATGGAATTTGATGCATAGGTAAAACTTTTTCACACCTACAGAAGACAATACACACCTATTAAATCCTAAATAAAATGAGGAATACTGGAAGATACACTGACCTTTAAGAAGAAGAGATCCATACGCAATAACTGCCCCAGCATGACCCTACAAATATATGGAATAAATTTTTTAAAAAGCAGGGAAAATCTTTAAACAACCAACTACAAATTAACCTGTGAGATATTGGATCGAACTCTAGTATAGTCGAAGTCTGTTCGCGAGTAATGCGTGTTGTAGTCGAAGTTTGTTCTAACATGCATTAGTCAATATTGCTAGGGTTGTTAGCATGTTGAATTGGGCCTTGCTTGTAAGCTCAATTGTTTAAGTTAGCTTGTACCCTAAGTTGGCTTGTAATGGATAATTGTTAAAAAGCCCATTAGGTTAGTGTGCTATTTTATTATAAATAGGATGCTAGTGTCTCAATCTTGAATATAAGGAAAAATAGGAAGATAAAATCCTAATTTCAAGGGAGAGAGGTTATTTTGTTATTCTTGTATACTTGTAATCTTGTTCTAAGAGAAAGGAAAGAATAGCAGTTTAATAACCAATCCTTGTTATTCCTTGTTGTTTTACCTTGTTTTCTTTGTTAATAACCCTTGTGTGTTTCTTGATTATTAAGAAACCGTTTATACTTTGTTAAAGGTATCCGATTCACAACATAACCTAATTCACATTTGTAAATAACTTGAAAGAAATAAATCTATTATGCTAAACTCATATAGATTAAGATAAGTTTTCTTTATAATAATCAAACACCTCCATGTGTAAGATTTAAGTACTTAAATTGGCTGAACTGACCGATTAGATCATTTTATAAGTTATCAAAAGGAAATAATTGAGTAGTCTTTAGCTAGGGTAAAACGTGATCATGAAAAATATATATTTAATACTTTAATCAAAATTCTGCCACCATTAATTATGATTTGTCTAAAGGGTCGTCAAGGTACAATAATTACTTCCTTACTGATTACATATTATATAAATCTTGAGTATGAGCGAGGCCTACATGCTCCTGGTTCTTGATCAAATGTTAACTTTCTAGGTTTCCATGCATATTGAACCTTTAGTCAAATTCTCATACTCGGGTTACTTCCCTTTGGACTCATCATATTAGAACACAATATTGTACTTGTGATAAATATAATGATGTGAACCTTGCTTGCATAGGAGAGAGCAAGAGAGCTTAGGTGCTGAATCTGTAAAAAGTGAATGATCTTTCTAACTATTAGGTTTAAAGTTTATATAGACTCATGATCCCCTAGGCTAAGTAACTGATTAAATTTGGTTCCACTACATACCCGCTCGGTTAGGTCATGCGGATAGGAAGATTGCTTCTCCCTTTTACTAGGAAGATCGGTTATTGTGAGGAAAACGGTAATAATGTGTTACTTCCTGTCATACGTGGCCTGACACATCCTAAAATGACATGTTGTTAAGTAAGTCGGATTGGGTGGGGTGATCCGTGTTCTAAAAGCGTTGGGACGGGTCGGGCGAGATCACATAGCCGCTCTCATTTGCCCCACACCATCTCATGACATCTTTAGGTCGGGTGTGACTTGGGTCGGTCTCTTCTAGACCCCCAACCAAAGTTATCCCATTTCAAAAACTTTGTTGAGAATCGCCCCAAACATCAAACATATACATCAAACAAAACCATATTTAATTCAGTATTTCAATCACATTAACTTTCAGTAAACCAACATATATTTTGAAAGAAAAGTTAGACTAGACGCGATACTCGACAAAATTTTAACTTTAAGGAATTTGCGCATGATTAATCAATGAAACCCTATTGTAGTTCATAACTCATGAAACACTTATTCATAGCTTTTCATGAAGGTATAAATACTTCAGCCCATTCGAAAACTTTGTCAGGTGATTTAACGTATGCACTTAAAGAGCGAGTGCAAACTAAATTTCATAACAGCATAACCAAATGACATACAATGTATTTTGAACTCAGTCTAACTCACCACACATGGAAAAAAAATGAATGGACAATTTGTCCATAAATATTAAGGCTATGTTTTGATAATTTAAAAATAACGGAGCGGAACGGAACGGAATAGGATGAAGTGGAATGGAATGGAACGAAATATAAACTTCATTCCACTGTTTGGATATTTTACAACGGAGCGGAACTAATATATCATTCCACTGTTTGGGAATTGGACGAAGCGTAAAACATTATAACTTTTTTATTCCATTTTTACCCTTTGCTACAATATTGATAGATCCAATATTCTCACACTAAAATAATATATAACTAATCATAGAAAAATATCAACTTAGCACTTGAAAGAAATTAAAACATATAGTAATAAATTAAAATGTTCATAAATGAAACATGGTTATTATAACTTGAAATTACAAATACCAAGTGCACAAGTTTTGATCAACATCATACTAGGTATTCATAGTAATTCATAAACAAAATCAAGTTTTGCTAAAATTAAATGATAAATATATGTCTATAGTAGATAATGATATCAAGTCTTGCTAATAAAAAAGACAAATATTGATCCATAATAGATAATGACTCTCTTCTTTAAGCATTCCACAAAACCTGCAAAAATAAAATAAAATAAATTACGCAAATATTTCGTTCGTTAAGATAAAAAAATACTCAAAAGTGATAAATAAATATGTTACCATTATCAAAAGGGATAGTTTGGAACAATGAGATGTAACATTTCCTTCCGTTTATCGATTAGAATTTCATTAAAAACTTTCAATGCATCAGCATTCTTAACAAGGTACATGTATACAAAAGGCAAAGAACTTGGTTCAACCCCAATCTCGACCAATTCAGCCCAAATATCTCCACCATTAGCAATTTTACTCTGTTTGACCAGCTCCATGAAATTCATTTCAAACACATCAACCATTTCTTTGAAAGTTTTGGAAATCTCAATCATGCTTGTATCATCTTCAATAACCTTCTTTACTCGCTTCTTAGTCCTAGATGATGATACATCTTGAGAATTGGTAATATAAGGCCTTGTAGGAGAATTATTGGAATGATGTTCATCATCATCAAATCCCTCCAAAATAACTTCATTGGTTTCAACTAAGTGGTCTATTTCTTCGATGGTTGTGCCATGAATTTTTTCAACATTTGCAACCTTTTTTGCTCTCATTTCAGCAGTTGTACCTTCATGCTCTCCTATTGCTCGATCTTTTCCAAAAAGTTTGGCCAATTTATCATAAAATAATATTTGCTAGTTTTTCCATTCAGCAGTTTTGGGTTTTGCCTACACCAAAATAAACGAAACAATGCATCACTTAAAAACTTTTTAATGAGTGAACTCAAATAAAAATAATTGGGTAAGTGTATAAAACAATTATAGTAAATAATACCTCAATTAGCTTGTTCCAAACTTCATATTCGGCAATCCACATATTTGTTGTTGAATCCCATCCAAACCCACTCAAGCCATTCTGGAAAAGGTCACAACAAGAATTGAACTTTGTTTTGATGTGTTTCATGTGATCTTTTATTTTTTCTTTGGAAATTGGTTTGTCTGGAAAGTGAGTCTTCAATTCTTTAAGAATGATATCCATAGCGCTTGTTGTCATACTATTACCATTTTTATTTCCCAATGTTTGTTGATGCAAATATGCATCAAGCAAAACTTCATCCATAGCAGTTGTCCAATTGCATGTTTCTAGACTTTTGAGTTTCCTCGGCCTCTTTAAACTTGCTTCCATGTCTATTATTAAAAAACACAATGAAGAATATAATAACTTATGCACAAATTCAAATAAAGGTTCATCATACACTAAAATTCATTCCACAAATTACAAATAAAAAATTCAATCCAAATAAAATTCTTCAAAACATTATTTATAAGAGTAACAAATCATTAAGAATAATTTTAATAATCTAGCCATATAGAACCAACAATGTTATCTCTAACTGGCTCTCCGCTAGTCATATCATTGTTTTCTTCTCTATGATCTTGATGACCCTCTTGAACATCTCTTTCGTTTGCAAGCTCATCTTGCACCTCATCAATTAAAGTTTGATTGGGGTCTTCACCCATCAAATAGTTGTGTAAAATGCAACAAGCAAGGATGATTTTATTTTGAGTTTTAATACCAAATGTAGGCTCTGTTGCAGTTTGTAAAATTGGAAATCTTTTCTTTAACACTCCAAATGCACATTCAATAGACATTCATAATGACGAATGTAGATGGTTGAATAACTCACGAGGGTTTCGAGGTGGATTTTTATAGTATTGTTGTAAGTGGTATCGTTCTCCCCTATATGGTGTAATGAGACATGCTTTTAAAGGAAATCCCGCATCACCCAGATAATATTTTTCTAAAAAAAATAATGAGTCCATTAGTTTAGCTAATCTAAATAATTATACAAATATTTTTTATTACTTTTTATTACCTTGTGGAACTTTAAGAGGGTGTGCACGTGCCAACGCACTCTTAACTATTCTTGAGTCAGAAGCAGTTCCTTCCCATCCAACCAAGACATATGTAAATTTCAAGTCAAATGAGCACGTGTAACACCACGCTCCCCAAATACAAAATAAATGCAAATAAAATAAACAAATATCAGATTCATCATAAACACAACAGAATGTCACAGATGAAACTCCTCCAAACATTTTCATTAAACGATTTTCAATAATTAAACAGCGGAAGTTTGTCATATAGACACATGTACATATATTCACATCATATACATAAACATCATATACACCATGTACGACCAACGCCCAAAATATACAAGATATATTCACCCAAAAGATTCATCAAACATGATACGCCACAGGGGCACACAAAATCATCAGATAAACAATAAACTCCCAAAAGCCCCGGTGTTACGTATCAGAGCATCCCTACTACTCGACTCGCCACAATCCAAGCTAGCTACGCACCTAGATTATCTGTACTTCCGAAGAAGCACAGACCACAACAACAACAAAGGGGTGAGAAATCACGATCAAAAAAATAACGGTAATAATGTACATGAATAAAAGGCAGTAAACCTACAAATATCATTCAACACACATCAATGAGGAAATACTGTCCAACATCACATACAATATGGCAATGCAACACATGCAACTCAACCCATGATATACGGTACCGACTAAATGGTTCGTCAACCAATCTCAGGATAGATCGCATACACTTCATCCGAGCAACGATCTATCCCTACCATGCTCCCCCTGAGCACATATAAACAAACTCAGGATAGATCGCATACACTCCATCTGAGCAACGATCTATCCCTACCATGCTCCCCTTGAGCACATATAAATAAACTCGGGATAGATTGCATACACTATATCCGAGCAACGATCTATCCCTACCATGCTCCCCCTGAGCACATATAATCAAACTCATGATAGATCACATACACTCCATCCGAGCAACGATCTATCCCTACCATGCTCCCCCTGAGCACATATAAACATGCATCATGAATATGCATACATCACTACACAACAACAATCCTTGCACATAAATTGCCCACGATCCATCCGATCGTATTTAATCCCACCTCATACATATATATATCACACATCACCACATTCATTCATCATACATACATGATACACCTCAACGTAAATATTATAATCACACGAATAATCAAGGAAATCATCTTCCAATCCCATACATACCCTCTCCACAGATCAACATCATTCCCATAATCAATCATGATCAACAAGGGTCCAATAACACTATAGCACAAAACATAACATCATTAAAAACAAAACATACTGTCATGCTCGCTGGCTCACTCGCTAGGCGAAGCATCAGCGAACGCTCGCTACATGCTCGCTCACCGAACTCCTTAGCGAAGCCAGACAGTGGCTACTGGTAGCACTCGCTACCCAATTCGCCCAGCGAATCCCTGGCGAAGGTTCGCTACTAGCTCGCTCAGAGAAGCAGCTGGCGAGCGTCTGCGATTTTAGAAAAATTCCACTGCTCAGAGTCGGCAAAACTCTCCGAACTCAACCGATTCCACCCAACTCAGTTCCCACAACATCAGACCAATAATCTACAACTTAACTACATAATCCATTCTTGATTTTACCCGGTAAAACTTCATCTCCACTCAATTAACTCAATCTCGGCATAAACACGACAATTACCCGAAATCCCCAAAATCACCAAACGATTATTCATCAAACGCATGCAACAGAATCAATAAGATAATCATGCATTCAGAATCATCACAACATAACAACAGATTCATCAAACCTATGGGGTTAGGGAAATCCCCTTCTACCTAGAATTCATGCACTCTACTAAATTTCGACCCGATTCTCCCCCTACCTCGAAATGCTCGAACAACTGATGAATCTATGAAATTCAAGATCTTCTTCTTCCTCCTTGATTCTCCTCTTGATCGTGATCTTCTTCTACCGTGTTCTTCGTTCCTCTTCTTCCAACGTGTTCTCTCACTCTTCTTCCTCCAATATTCCAACAATGCCTCTAATACCCCTTTTCCAATTCTTTTATTCCATTTTTATTAATAATAATAATATTAATAATAATAATAATAACAATAATATTACAAATAATAATATTATCATTACTTTTATATTATTATCAATAATAATTATATTATTAATATTAATGTCCAAGGTCATCAATTAATCTCCACACTTAAGAGCTACACGCGATCGCACTAAGCCACACCCCCACAAAAGCACCGCGAATAAAATAATCACAGAAAAACGATATAATTAAAAGGGGTGTTACAACTCTCCCCCACTTTAATTATTTTCGTCCTCGAAAATACCTGATGGAAACAATTTTGGATACGCATCCCGCATCCTGCTTTCCAACTCCCAGGTCACACTGCCTCCTGCAGCACCTCCCCAAGCCACTCTCACCAAAGGTATCTCTTTCCCTCTGAGTCGTTTCATCTTGCAATCTTCTATCCTCAACGGCATTGTCTCAACAGTGAGATTCTCCCGGACTTGTACTTCATCTCTCTAAATCACATGAGACGAATCCGCGACATACTTCCGAAGTTGCGACACATGAAACACGTCATGCAAATTCGAAAGCTCGGGCGGGAACGCCACCCTATAAGTCACATCACCAACTCTCTGCAAAATCTGATACGGCCTAATAAACTTCGGATCCAGCTTCTTGGACTTCAACACACGACCTACACTAGTCACTGGGTTAACTCTCAGGAATACGTGATCACCTTCACTGAATTCCAACTCTTTCTTCCGGTTATCGTGATAACTCTTCTGCCTATCCTGAGATGCTTTCATCTTCTCACAGATCATCTGAACTGTCTCAGTAGTCTGCTGCACAATCTCTGGTCCGAAAACCACAGTCTCACCCGTCTCATACCAACACAGAGGAGTTCTGCACCTCCTACCATAAAGAGCCTCAAACGGTGCCATCCCGATATTGGAATGGTAACTGTTGTTGTACGTGAACTCAATCAATGAAAATGAGTATCCCACGCACCACCTCTTTCCAACACACAAGCCCTCAACAAATCCTCCAACGTCTGAATAGTCCTCTCTGACTGGCCATCAGTTTGTGGATGATAGGTTGAACTCAGCTTCAACTTAGTACCCAAAGCTTCATGCAAACTCTTCCAAAACTCTGAAGTAAACCTCGGATCTTTATCCGACACAATACTCGACGGCACACAATGAAGCTTCACAATCACCCGAATATAAATCTCTGCCGGCTTCTCCAACGGAAAACTGATACTGATCGGCAAAAAATGTGCAGACTTCGTAAGCCAATCCACAATTACCCAAATGGCATCAAATACTCTCGCTGTGCATGGCAAACCCATAACAAAATCCATGGTAATGCAATCCCACTTCCAAACCGGAATCTCTAACGGTTGCATAAATCCAGAGGGCCTCTGATGCTCCACCTTCGATTTCTGACACGTCAAACAGGCATAAACGAATTGAGCTATATCCTTCTTCATACCTGACCACCAAAACATCTTCCTTAAATCATGATACATCTTCGTAGCTCCTGGATGAATACTCAAACTACTACGATGTCCTTCACTCAAAATCGACTTCTTCAACTCATCATTATCCGGCACACAAATCCTACCTCGGAAACTCAACACACCTGAACCATCCAACTTGAAATCACTATCAGAGTCACTTCCCACTCCAGACATCAAATCCACTAGCTTTACATCTAGCTTCTGACCTTCTCTAATCATATCCAAGAAATCGTTGTTCACTTGCAACTTACCCAACATCACGCAATCTGCTGAAGTCTCATAAACCATACTCAAATCTCTGAACTGCTCAATAAGCTCCATCTCTTTCACCATCATAGCCGACATATGAATCGCCTTTCTGCTCAAAGCATCGGTTACCACATTAGCCTTTCCTGGATGATAACTTAGGCTAAAATCATAATCCTTCAAGAATTCTAACCATCTTCTCTGCCTCATATTTAGCTCTTTCTGATCAAACAAATACTTCAGACTTTTATGATCGCTGAACACCTCAAACCTTGAACCATACAAATAATGCCTCCAGATCTTTAATACAAAAACCACCGCAGCCAACTCAAGATCATGAGTAGGATAATTCCGCTCATGCACCCTTAGTTTCCGCGAAGCATACGCCACCACTTTACCATTCTGCATAAGAACTCCGCCTAATCCCATCTTAGACGCATCACAATACACCACAAACGGTACACTCGGGGTCGGTAACACTAACACCGGTGCCGTAGTCAATCTCTTCTTCAATTCCACAAAGCTCTCTTCACAAGCGACATCCCACACAAAAACTTGGTTCTTTCTTGTCAACTGAGTCAATGGCAACGCCAAAGTAGAAAATCCTTCAATAAATCTTCGATAGTACCCTGCTAATCCCAAAAAGCTTCTAACTTCCGTCGTTGTCTTTGGCGGTTCCCACTGCAACACTGCACTCACCTTAGATGGGTCTACTGATATACCATCACCAGAAATAACATGCCCCAAGAAACTCACCGTCTTCATCTAGAACTCACACTTGGCCAGTTTCGCAAACAACTTATTATCCTTCAACACTTGCAAAGC